AAGAGGGGAGGGAAAGGGAAAAAACAAAAGCAGCCAAAACTCTCCGACTTGTTCATTAGGGTTTTTGTGTTTGAACATCTGAATGAATCATGTGTCTGGTTTTCATTATTCTCCATATGTGATTGTTCCCTGCTTTGTTCAGTGATTTCTGGCCATTTTGTCATGACTGTGCTTATTTTGTTTTATATATTGTTCTATTACAGGGTGACTGTTGCTTCTCCTCTGCCTCACTTAGCAGTTATGCCACCAACAAAGAGCAATCTGAAAATGAGAGGTTACGTCAAAAGGTTTCCCTAGTGAACTCCCTTGCAGCATATATGATTACTTCAGACCCGACTGCTTAATTCATACCAGGGAGAAACCCTCAGATAACACTGTTCCTTAGCACTACAGGAATGTAGTGGGTATCCTTCTAAAAATCTGAGGAATACTGGAGAATGACTTAAAGTCCCTTGCAGAGTGTTTTCCTCATTTTTCCAAGAGGAAACCTAACACTGCTTGCTAAGCAGTAACCTAGTTTAACAGATCTGCTCTTACATGGGGTATTTGAAATAAGTTCTTTACTACATTAACTATTTTCCACTTTCAGCTCTACTCTATATCTTGGTCAACACACAAATGATGCCGAAATAGATTCTGAAATCTCCAATCATGTGGTGACTTCTTCTATCATCTCCGTCAATTTAATCCACCCTACTGCATTGGATACACATCACAGGACGATGTGTTCGTTTAACAAGATACCTTCTAGTGAGATCCAGAAGACTGGAAAGGAGCAAACAAATTGCCTGGGTTTTTTTGCTTTTTGCTGTTGTTAGGTTTTTTGGTTTTGTTTTTAAAAAGGAATGGATGTAGGCCCCAGTGTATTAGAGAGACTTTATATTTCTGGAAAAATCTTAGAGCAAATAGCCATATAAATCCAATCACAGACCCTGAAAGGTAACAGGTGATTAGTACCATGCAGCATGGATTTAGCAAGAATAAATAATATCACATCATACTTCCATCTAGAAGTAGGTAACTAGACTTATAGATAGGAAAGTACTATATATTTTAGTTAAACCTTGGTTGTCTCTCGTAACTGGAGCAGATGGGAGAAATATGATCTAGCTAAAACTGCTGTGATGTAGGTGCCAAACTGATTAGCAGATCCAATTTAAAAAAGAAGTTCTCAACAGCTCAGTGTTGCACTATCTGGTGTAGTGAGAGGGTTTCCTCAAAAGTCTTCCCCGGGTTTGTTATTATTCAGTCTTTTCCAAATTATCTTGTCCAGTGGATTAGAGAAATCATTTATTAACTGTGAAGAGGATACTAAAGAGGTAAGTGCTGCAAGCACTGTGGAGAGTTAAGATTTGAGAATAATCTTAGCAAATTAAGGAGTAGCCGGGAAAAAAATAGGATAAAATTCAATACAGACAAATGAAAAGTTCTAGCCTCAGGAGGGAATAATCAACAGCACAGAGCAAAGCTCACAATACGGAATGCCTGGCTGGCAGCAGTGCTGGAGAAAAGAGTAACAGAACTGGGGGCTGCAGAGAATCTCTCAGCATAAATCAGCACTGCTGTTCTCATGCACCACCCTGTGCCTCAGAAATGTATCTATATTTTAAATACAAATAGTTATTTACATGGATATATCAACAAAGAGGAGAGTCGTCATCACAAAGACAAATTAAATAACCTCTCCACATTATTGAAAATGGTAAGATTTAGGCCGTCTGACATCCTCTGCCCGGCTCTAAGGACTTCAAGTAAGAAGTGAGCTAATTAGAGAGAGACCAGTGAAGTACAATATAATCAGAAACTTAAAATAAATTGCCTTTAAGGAAAAAGTGAAAGGACGAGTGTTTCGACTAAGGAAAAGATGACAGACATATAGCAGTCTTCAAATATATATGTTTGCTGCAAAGACGAAAGGAATAAACTGTTCTGCATGTCCACTGGGGATAAGAAAAGAAGCAATAGGCTTAAATTGCATCAAGGGAGATTTGGGTTAGACATTAGAAAACGCTTCATTATAGTGAGGAGAGGGAGCAGTATCACAGATTGCCTGAGGAGCTTGAGGAATCTCTACCGCTGGAGGCCTTTGAGTGCAGGTTACAGAAACATCCCTCAGCACCGGGTTAGAGCTGATCCTGCCCCAAGGCAGAGGAATGGACCAGCTGACCTCTTCAGGTCTCTTCCACCTCTGATTCCTGGGAAGCTTTTTTTTTTTTTTTTTTTTTTTGGCAGCTTTACTGAAGAGGAAGGAAATTGTACCCAGCATTTAAACCAGCAAAACGTCTATTATTTTTATGCCACGAAGCATACTGTTAATAAATCCAATTATGTTTACGATCTTTTAATGGCACCACTTATGTCATAAAGATCCATCTTTGAAAATACAAATAAATATCTCTGCCCTACAGTGTAATACAACAGCGTGAAAGCAAACTTTTACAAAATTCCAAATCACTGTTATATGGCCCCCACTGCAATAATCTCAAAGCTAACTACAACATAAAGAACACCAAATCTAGATGTTTTTCTTTCTCAAAATTTGACCATTCATATTCTTTACAATCTTTTCACTTCACATTTTGTGTCTCGCAAACAGGTTCACTCCTTTCCTTGTTTACCGCTGGCAATGGGAACAAAATCCTCATCACATGGCATGACATTTGTGGAGTGGTTACCCATCAAATATGCATTTAAAAACAAAACAAAAAGTTAAGAACAATCATCGAGCACGCTTCCCCCAGATTCTCTCCACCAACCTTTAGGCACTCAGCTGAAGCATCTACACTGACAACACAGTGGTCTCAGACAACCAAGATCAGCAGAGAAAAAATATATTTCTCTCTCCCATGGACTTCATCTCATTAGTCAATATACAGCCCAGTTCAAATCCAACTCCATCTGCTTGATTTGTGTTGCCGTTTCAGATGCACAAATTTCAGAAAAAAGATGAAAAAAGGATGGAGTTGACACATGAGAGAACAGAAAACCCCTCAAGTCTTGTATGGTAGTGGGAAAGGAGACAAGGACCTACATGTCCCTGTCACCAAAGGAAAGTCTTAGTTGGAGTGTAAGATAGTGAAGAGTGGCCCCAGGGTAACCCCAGCCTACCTGATCACAGACTTCCTATTCCTCATCCCTCACATCAGCAGCTCAGACCCCTCCACCTCTCCAAGGCCTAAGCCCCAACTCCTTCCTGCCCCAGAGCCCTATCCCCAAGTGCTCCTACCCCAAAGCCCTTCTTATCCCATCGCAGCACTCCTCCTCCTCCTTGTTAAACCAGTTCAGAGCCCATTCAATCTGCTCAGCCCCTTTGTAGCCCCATCGTGCTGCAAGTTCCCCTCTCCGTACAGCTCCCCACCCTACACCTTGCCTCCGAAACTCAAATCTCCTGGCCATGCAGCAGCCAGCGTCAGGCACGTCCATCACCTCCTGGCTTTGAAACTGCAGCACTCACCTCTGTGCACCCCCAGCCACCCTGCCAGGGCTTTCTCAACTTGGCCCAGCCCGTCTTCCTTCGAGGGTATTCCTTCATAATACAATAAAAAAAAAAAAAACAAACCAAACAAAACAAAACAAAAACCCCCAAACTAAACAGGTTTTGCTCCTGGTGTAATAGTCAAAGAAATACAGACAGAGCCATGTTATCAGAAGTCTGCTGGAAGAGTGCTCCAAAGAAAGGGAAAGCACGTCCAGGCGAAAACAAATGCATGGCAGTGCCACTTCTGATGATGGCCCACGACCGATCAGGTTGGTGGAGTTTTCTAAGACTAGAACTGCAGTCTTCCAGCTTACTTTTCTTTCGAATGGCTAACGAATGCTGTTGTGGCAGGCAATAAGTAAAGGCACACACTTCTACAAACAGCAAGAACATCTTTGGTACAGATAGCAGGATTTTGCCCCATCTCATAATTTCCCCACATGTCTTCCTCTGCTCCTTCTCTTCATACCCTATCTGGCCACACATGTGATATTCCTGTACTGCAGTGTTTTTTCTTTTTACCAACTCATATAGATATGCTGCCCAGAATGTGCTTCTTACCAGAAGAACCCACTCTAGATCTTATTACTCCAAAAGGATTCTGTATACCACTAGTGTAAAGTTACAGTCATTTCAAAGCAGAGCTTCTCCCCCATAGACTTGATGGCTCTTCAGACTACTAAATGAATAACAGTTCTAGTCCTGAGATACTACTAGACATGTTAGTCAATATTTATGTCGGCAAATATAGCTATACACAGATACATGAAACATGCTGTATTTCACTGAAAAAATGTTTTCGTACATTAGCAGACAAATTAAGAACGCAAAACTGGAAGAGGAATCATTTTTATATCTTGGTATCACAACTTGTGGATCTATTTGTGCCAAAGAATATTTTCTTCTTCCAATAGTATAGGCCAAGACTTCACAAAAATAGAAGAATTAAACCAGGTTTTGCTTGGGAAACTTTTCCCAAAGGTTTCTCATTTTTATATAGGAAATCAATTTGCATCACTGATGATATCATTCAAATCAGACAGCACTATGTGGTTAGAAGGTAATTTACTTTTCTGCCGAAGCAATTTGATACTTGTTCTGATTTGTGATTTTCATTTTGTTTGTTAATGAAAAAAATTAATGAGCAATGTTACTGGAAACACAACTCAAAGCTTTGGCATTATTAAATATGTTTGTAATATACCGTACATTATGTTGATTGCACAGTTGGAGCCAAAGCCTTAGCAGTCAAGCCACCAGTCAATCATTCAAACAGACAATGAACTCTCACAGGGTGGACATTTTGCACGTACCTTTGCATTGATTTGTGTTTTTGTCAAGAATTGCCTTTGTGGATACAATTTTCCCATACCTATGGAGAAAACAAAAAACAGAAATATATGTTATTATATTTTAATAATGTACATAGTTATTCTTGCACACATATAACACATATACTAGGAAGAGATCTAGTGCTCTTACAAAATGTTTTCCTGATCTTCCTGGAGAGGTTCCCGCTGCCACTGCAGTTCAACAAACACCTTTTGAGTTCACCTGAAAAGCACTGGTCGTTTGACACACCCTGGCCACCTCTGGTCACTGTGCTGCACTGCCAGCATAAATGCTGATTCTAGTAAGAATTTTAGGACATCAGCACTAGTAAAGAGGTTTTTTGGTTAAATTAAATAGATTTGCTTACAAATATTTTTTTCATTTTTAGCTGCCAAACAAGGTTTGCTTTAATACAGATGGACCAGCTTCCTCCAGGATTCACAAAAATGCAGGAGGTATGGTCATTTTTATATATGCATGCACACACAACTGTGCTCATGTGTGCATCCACGCCTGTGCATATACACTCTAAACTTCTGGTTTAGGTAAACAGAAGCTTTGAGGTTTAGGTGCATCTCCTAGCTCTTTCCAAGATGAATGTTAATACTTAGTTGAATTTATGTTGCCTCCCATAGATAGCACAGCACTGCACCGCAACTTGCTAGACTTAGTATGATGAAGAGGGAATTTGGGCAGCTACAAATTGGTGCATTAAGCAACTAGACTGTAAAACAGGTATCTGTCTTTACCTCACAGAGGTTAAGACTAAAAATGCAGACTTAATAGTAAGTATTGCAAAAATCCGGTGAAAGATCACAGAAGACGGCCATTTATGGCTGCATATAAGACTTCAGGAGAATAAGGAAAATAATTTTATTTCTCAAGTCACTGATATGTCTTGGTCTCTGCTTCACTGAAGAGAACTTCCTCTAAAATGTCCTTTTCCAGACTTTTTAAAAAAGCATTACTGGTACTCTGATAGATTGGGCTTTCATTTGGTAGGCTTTTCCGTGGAACACAAACTTTGCCATCAATGAAGGACTTATTACTATAAAAGATTATAATAAAATTCTATCTTCTAATGGCAAAGCAATACCCATGGAAAATAAACAACAGTTCATCCATTAGAAACCATTGAAATGTATGGCAGACCAATTTTTATTTGGTTGATCTTTATTAACAACGATATACATTTGGTGTCAGTGACTTCTACTTGAAGTCCAGAAACCAGGATGTGGAAGACCTTGCTGCAATTTCCTTCTCTGCCTCAGGAGAAAACCCATGTCTCCTACTATACAGAAAAGGACTGTAAGCTAAGGGCAGCTAGAGCACTGTACTATATATTCAAGGCCATGCTCTTCTCTGTCCTACCAGACATGGGTAGGACATGTAAACATACCCAGTAAACCAGAAAAAAATAGTGAAAAAAAGACAAAAAGACAAAAAAAAAAGACAGGGAGCAGAAGAGGGAATGGTACTACCACTCACAGGGAAAAAGGGACCTTTGGGTTTCAGTCTGGGACCCAGAAGACACTTAAATACCTCATGAAGGGGGAGCAGCACCAACAGGAAAGACCGGGAACAGACTACCTACATATATCCTTTGGTACCAGCAAAGAAGATCTGAGGCAATTCTGTACCTGAAGAAGTTCTGAGCTGAAGTTTCCACACTGTGAGTGACATGCAACCACTCAGCTTTATCTAAAGGCCACTGTCTCTCCATCTCTCTTTACTCTGTTTTCATGACTGATGCAAAGTGAGACTTTCCATTTTCACTGTTTTTCCTTTCCCTAAGAACCCACAAAAGCATTTGTTTCCATTTGACTTTCACTTTGGGGAGGAAAAACATGCTTTGTTTTGTTTTATTTCTGACTGAAACCAGTCAGAAGGAGGGCAAACTGACCTAAAGGCGTTAACAGTTTGTGGAATCTAAGTTGAGCCCCAATTCAGCCATCTTTTAGGAACAAAAAACCAACCAAACAACAACAACAAAAAAAAAAAATCGCACAAGCCTTCCTCCCCTCCACACATCCTCTTTTTCTTGCTGGCTCTGCAGACAGGCAGGATTTTGTGCTCTGAAGGCAGGCGTAATCCATTGTATGCTCACCATGATGGGTACATGGGCAGGTAGATGTGGGTCTCTTTTGCCATAGCTGGCTCCACTCCAAACACATATACGTAACAAATTTAACTTTAACCATGAGATCACATGCTTTTCTAACCTCAGGTGTTTCCAGAATTGGGACCTTTATACTCACTTATGTTCCACTTAATTTTATAATTCTTCATGGTAATACCTGAAGTTGACTTTGGCCTTGAAGACATCTTAAGAAGGCAAAGCCAAATTCTCTGCCAGTGTGATTTATGGTTGTACAGTGGGCCAACTTACCCAGCAGGAAATTTGGCCCATGTGGTGCATCTTCATTTATTTAAAGTATAATGCATGAAAAACATGTAAAAACATGCCTATCTCGTACTGTAAAGGGCCTCTGACAGATATATGGAAAAAGAATCCAACAAAAATCAGCGGCTAACCCACAACAACCTCAAATAAAACACAACCCCTACCTAAACTTCCGCCAACAAAAACTTAACACCCAGCCTCCATTTCAGCCCAGCCACTCCTAATGAATTGATATGTTGTTTCATTGAAGTCACGTGAGAGCTAAAAGTTAACATTTCTTGCCAGCAGAGACAGGCATTTGTGGTTCCACTGCTTTTATTACAGATTTCCCAGAGTTATTTGCTACATACTGTGATCCTGCAAACACTTAGTTACACTAGAGATTTTACACACAGAAGTAATTCTGTTCAGTTCAGAAAAGGTTTCCTCCAGCACGTAAAGTTACGTGAACACCTTCACATTTGCAAAAACAGACATCAGAGCGGTAAGAGGCTCCACAACAACAAACATTGTTATAGGCAATTAGCCATATGCAGGCGATTTAGTCTACTGCTATAAACCTCGAGCACTACCACAAGAAAGTAATTGGAATTAATTTGGACACTGTTTTCCTAAATATTTCAAGTAATTATTTTACAGTCATCAGAACATCAGTTCTGATGAAGAATGTTAGCTTGTGTGCTGCATGAAATCAGGAAGGTATTTTGTTTCTACAAATGTAGTCTTATTTCTTTCTTGCACGTGTGGAGAGCAGTATCAAGTTATGTCTCCTCTCCAAAGTTGTTTGGCTTTCTGTTTGTGTGACCTTTAATTGTGATTTGACCCACTCAGAAGTACCAAAAATGTATTTGTCAATGGAAACGCCCACGGAAATAAGGATAAAGTGCATCACAAGAGTGGGCCTCTTGTTTTCTTGTATTTAAATGGAAACTACTACAAAATTCAACAGCCTGCACACCTCTGTTCTACAAACTACTGATATCATTAATGTAAAAAATACTAAGTATGGTTTGTTTGTCATGAGAAAACATGAGCACTGTTTAATTTCCTCCTGAGTTATGGTGCACAGAGGTATTCTTCCTAAGATTTTGAATAAAAAATTCCGGTCAGAAAAAGATAATTGTGGAATTGAGTTCATCTCAATGCCTTATTACCAACCCTTCAACATAATGACTGTATCATTACTGCATCGCAGTATCCAAGGGGATAGATGCAATGAATCTGTGAGATGGCTACGTCAAGAATGTGTCTACTGAACATCTGAAATGAAACCACTATTCTAAAGATCTCCAGACACACAACGTGTTGTTTGTCATTACATTCTTCTCAAAGTGTTATCTAAATGCATAGTAAGCACAAATAAAATTATTTACAGGCTTTTTAAAAATCCTTTTAATCCCTTATATTCAATTATGCTTTTAATGTTTTTCCTTGTAATAATTTTCATTTAAAACCAGGTGGTCAGATATTTGAAAGAGCTTCCATGCCAGGAGCAGCTACACAGAGTAGGATTTCAGCTCATTAAAGAAGGACCCGTGCAGTTAGACGGTGACGAGTTGTCTTCATTGTTTCTCTTAATACATAAAGACTGCCAAGAATATTATAAGGTTTAAAAACTGCAGAAAGCGGTACTTCCCCAGAACGGAGAGCTACTTGTGGAACTCATTGCCACAGCCTGCGCTGATTCCCCACAGAGCGCATCTCTACAAAAAACTATTAGACAACTTCTAGGATGGAAAATCTGTCACAAAATTAAAAGCAAAGACACATTTGTGGCCCTGGAAGTCACATACTGACAGAAACTGGGAGAGGATACCAGAGTAGTATCATCGCACGTTGTCCCTGTTTTAACATCAGGCACATCAGCTGCCGAAACAAATTCCTGTCTGACCCAGCCCAGCCATTCTTACATTCCAAGAGAACATAAATTTGGGAGCAGAAATACCTTCTTTACAATCATAAACATTTCTACCTTCTCTTGTCTGTATCGGTTTGGGGTGAAACTGATCAAGTCATCTGATATCCACTATTAAAATTACAAAGGTCACTTAAAAACACCTCACATAAAATGGTGGGAACACACACCGTGTCACACGGAGGGCAGGACTAAGGGAAGACCTCACGGTGCTGTGCATAGATAAACAATCTCCCTGCTTAGCCCCGGCTACAGAGGTATGTCAAAAAACACTCTCAAGAGCCCCGTCCCATCGCACCCCACATTTTCTGACTACTCAGCAGACTGAGAAAAGATGCAAGCAATGCAGAATAAACCCTTAACGTACATCAAAGTTGCAGTATCAATAGATCATTTCAAGAGCTTGCAGGCAGGCGGTCGATCAGCACTTACTGCAGACAAAGCTCGACCCAGTCGTTCCCGGGAAGTTATTTGATAACTGCTGTTAAAATGGAGATAGCTCCTGAAGGAAGCACTTCAGCTGCAAGTGACACCACTTGCAAGATGCGGGAACCTTTCCCACAGCCCACACCGACCCCAAATTGACGGGAATTTGCCGTCTCACAGCACACAAAGGATTCGAGCAATTTCTGCTTCTGCCTGAGGCAAGCTGGGGGTGCAGGGGAAGGCAAGTGGGTGACCAGGGTTATGAGGGAACAGAGATTCAGCCGGGGACTAGCTC